ATTTGTTGTACCGATAGTACTCTCTACACACCGGGTTAACTCCAATTATAACAACTGTAACCAATGCTCAGGTCCCTGTGCTAGATGCCTAGTACCTGTATGCTACACTCACATGGATCATTAGGGATTTGATTTGTTGTACCGATAGTACTCTCTACACACCGGTTTAACTCCAAGTATAACAACTGTAACCAATGCTCATGTCCCTGTGATAGATGCCTAGTACCTGTATGCTTAATTAGGGATATGATTTGTTGTACCGATAGTACTCTCTACACACCGGGTTAACACCAAGTATAACAACTGTAACCAATGCTCAGGTCCCTGGGATAGATGCCTAGTACCTGTATGCTTCATTAGGGATATGATTTGTTGTACCGATAGTCCTCTCTACACACCGGGTTAACTCCAAGTATAACAACTGTAACCAATGCTCAGGGCCCTGTGATAGATGCCTAGTACCTGTATGCTACACTCTCATGGATCATTAGGGATATGATTTGTTGTACCGATAGTCCTCTCTACACACCGGGTTAACTCCAAGTATAACAACTGTAACCAATGCTCATGTCCCTGTGATAGATGCGCTACACTCACAGGGATCGTATATACCATCATTAGGGATATGATTTGTTGTACCGATAGTCCTCTCTACACACCGGGTTAACTCCAAGTATAACAACTGAAACCAATGCTCAGGTCCCTGCGATAGATGCCTAGTACCTGTATGCTACACTCACATGGATCATTAGGGATTTGATTTGTTGTACCGATAGTACTCTCTACACACCGGTTTAACTCCAAGTATAACAACTGTAACCAATGCTCATGTCCCTGTGATAGATGCCTAGTACCTGTATGCTTAATTAGGGATATGATTTGTTGTACCGATAGTACTCTCTACACACCGGGTTAACTCCAATTATAACAACTGTAACCAATGCTCAGGTCCCTGTGCTAGATGCCTAGTACCTGTATGCTACACTCACATGGATAATTAGGGATTTGATTTGTTGTACCGATAGTACTCTCTACACACCGGTTTAACTCCAAGTATAACAACTGTAACCAATGCTCATGTCCCTGTGATAGATGCCTAGTACCTGTATGCTTAATTAGGGATATGATTTGTTGTACCGATAGTACTCTCTACACACCGGGTTAACTCCAATTATAACAACTGTAACCAATGCTCAGGTCCCTGTGTATGCAACCGATGGGAAGTCCTGTTTATTTCATGCATTCCCCTCCGTTTAATACAAACCGTCAAGTTTGGGATTTTTTAATTGTTACCTAAAAATATACAACATTAACGCCATTATTCTGAAGTGTTAGTTTTAGCAGTGCGAGCATCCGGCGTCAGAGATCAGACAGCGATTTCGAGACCCGCGCTGAAGGATGGAGCCGTTTAACCACCGTTGAAGGGAAATCAAAGTTGAATTATGTTCAGTGGAAAGTTTAAAAATATAACTAGATGAAAGAAATTGATAAATCTCACAGACAATTTTATTCTGCATGTGATTTCTCTTGCCAGTGAGGGTTTCACAGTCAAGGCAAAATGTAGAAGTTAGAAACATATCTAAACAAGAGACCCAGAGAGCCCGTATCGCTCGGCTAGATATTAAGTAAAAAAATCGCATTTCAAGAAACATTGTTAATAAGATCAAACGGATGGAGCCAGCTCAATCCCGGTGCGAATCCTCTCAGATATCAATGTTAGTACCAATGGAATAAAAACATAAACGTGGAACCCAGAGGCCAATTCTGGTACCATACATGTATTCATCCAGCAATTGTATACATGGCCATAGGTTGGGGATCTCAACAGTTTCTAAAATATTTCCAAGAGACTTCGGGGGTGGGGTTGAAGTCTCGGGCCAATCCTGGAAGCAAAGATGTGTTCATGTCTTCGTATCTCTTTCCATGTCATGACCAAGAAATCCATGTGGGAGAGGAAAGACCCGAGGCCAATCTCGGCAACATATCTGTTTTCCTTGCCCAGCAACGGTATATACAGATATAGGGTTGATATTTCAACTGTTTCCATGTGCCTACGTGACAAGAACCCATAGGCGGAGCAGCATCCAATAGACTTTTCTCCTTGTAGGTTATCTGTCTGTATCATGTCTGTTCATGTCTATCAATTACACCCATGGTTTAAGGTTGGGATCTCTACCATTTCAAAGTTATGCCTCATGGATTAAGTCTACAGGGATTGGGCCCCACCCATGGTTTAAGGTTGGGATCTCTACCATTTCAAAGTTATGACTCATGGTTAAGTCTACAGGGATTGGGAAAGAATGTTTCCAACCAAATAAGGTGGATACATTGTTTCCATATCACAGTTGCAGAGGTGATGTCATTTAAATCAATAAGACAAAATTAAGCTTTTTTGAACCCCAGCCCCCTCTGATGTTTGCGATTACTTTACGCTTCCAAACAAAACTCGTCAGCGAATTTAGATGGTTAGATAATTGTCAAAATTTTTAAAAAAAAGTGAATTTAGTTCCACTTTTTTTGCTCTAAAGATTATCGCAGATGAACCTAAAATCATATCATTCCGTAAAATGAATTAAAGTTTATCCTGTTCGAGGCTAACTGTTCACTTGGTTTAAGGGTATTTCTAATCACAACAGTTTACGTATCTATCAACAAGTTATACACGTGTAAGCATCATAACCACTGTATTAAGTCACAGCTCTTTTAACTTTACATTCGAAGTCGGTAATGTTATCATTAACCGACAAAGCTAGTGTCTAACCTCTAACACGATCAGCTGTTCCAACCTAATCAACCAGAACATCCGTCAGTTGGTTCGCGTATTGTCAGCTTTACGAGGCGTCAGGATAGATACTCAAATCCAATGCGTTAAATATCTGTGTTTATATATGATCGTTTTGTGAAATTTGCAATAGCGAGTGATTGTATTACACACACACATTTGTTGTTTTCAATTCAAAATATTAAGGATTCAATGTTTAATTTTTACGCGTCAATACGGTAATTAAACTAGAGAAATCGGCGTCGTGAATCAACGTCATTTATAAGTGACTACACATGTATAGTACCTTTTAATGGCGTATTTCTTATATCTATTTAACGTACCAAATTGTTTTTCTTTGAAATAAAAGGCTTTCTTTGATACAAGACTTAATGTTCAGCTAATGGCTCGTCTTGACATTCTGATCAATGCTTGTCTAGAATTCAATTAGCTGTCTACAAAAACCGTTACAGTTATTGTAATAAAACCTGATTTCCTCCGAACATGTTTGTAGTACGGTGTATCAGTGCCATTCTGACACGACCATGTTGAGTTAAAACATAGAACCCTTATTTTACACTGATTTGTGTTGAATAGTCGAGAAAATATTCCATCGCTAATTTTTACAAACATACAAGTTAACAGCTTTCCGTCATGTAACGGCGTACCAGGTTTGAGTAGTGGCGGGCAACCCGAGTGCCCGGAGAAAAAAATCACCGACCTGAGGACAGTACCTGGCGACTGAGCGTAACCCATGGAATTTCGAAGATGAGATGGGTTATTTCTATATATTAATTTACCATGGTAAGCGAAATTGCGAATACAATAGTTTCAGCCATTTTTGTTTCCGTTTACGGACTTTCGCTAAAACTAAATCCATTCAAAACCCCTTGCTATAAATTACATAAAAATAAATTTGACGCATGAGCCGAGAATTTGTTCAGAAAACTTATTTAACTTGAGTTTAAAACCTCATGATACATGTCAATGTGGTCTTGTGTACAATATTTGTGTAATTTCTACCTGTAGGTAAGCAGTTCTCGTAAATCAGGCATTCATTATGAAGTTGTATATTGCGTAAAGACGATCCACACCAACTCAATAATGGTTACATGGACCGCATGAATCAGTTGACGCACCAGGGAACAGAACGGTTTAAATGGTCAAACGTACGAGGGGACGGACACAGTAACAGCTTTCAGTTTGGTTTATTTATGTTTTACGTCCTGTTAACAATTATGGCCATTTAAGGATGAGCCTAGTTTTGGTGGTGGAGGAAAACCGGAGTACCCAGAGAAAAACCACCGACCTGCGATGAGTACCTGGCAACTGTCCCACGTAGACCTCGACCCCGCGACCCAGTGGTGGAGGGCTAGTTGTTATTGATGGTCAGATGCCTAGAAGAGCCGCGTAATTGAAATGGTCAAATACTCACGTACCTGGGATGGACACGGACGTTAAGAAAATGTAGTAAAGAGGCTAAATAGGGAAGTTTTGCTCTGTGAGTTATAAACAGTTATACATGTAGTTTCAGTTCATTAACTTATATTTCTCCTTGTCTTTTTCGGAACAGTGAGTTATAAGTTAGTTGTAATTTCAGTTCGGTACTTAACTTATATTTCTTCCTCCTTTTCAAAACAGTGAGTGATACGCTAGTTGTAAGTTCAGTTCGGTCTTAAGCTTATATTTCTCCGCGCCTTTTTAGAGCATTGCATGATAAGATAGCTGTGATTTCAGTTCGGTAATCAATATTTGTTTTTCCTTGTATTCATAACAGTGATATCATCTCGTTTCATTTTAATCTTTTTATGATTAAAAAAATCTTCAGATAGGCTTAGGTAATTTAATTATGAAATGATACCAGAGTACCTGATGCTAGCGACGGCTGGTCGAACGTAATTAAGGTAGCACGTTATCGCACTATTCACGTCAACAACACAAAATGCTGTGTACATAAACATTAAATTAAATTTCAACCTACAAACTATCCTGCAAAGGTCAAACTCAAATCACCCAGTCATTTAAAATGTAAGGGTGTTTGGTTATAGCTGTTACATTTTTATCATAAATCAAAATTTAAAAAATAAAACTGAAACGTTTCTTATGAAAAAAGTATGAATGGATTGAGTGTGTAACGGGTATGTGGGTTTGTGTATCTCAGTTTATAGTTAGTGTTGGTGGGTAATGTGTAAATAATTTGTGCAAACAGTGAATCGGTCATGCATGCATTTCCACTCACCTGCAAACAGACAGAGATCCTTTCCGAGTATTACCGCAATTATCATAGTGAGACTTTTCCACATGATCTTAAAAAGAAATAGGAAAAAAGTTTCACAGTAATTTCCTCAGTTGTATTGGTGTAATCTCCACATTTCTATAAAGTTAGTTAGACGCTGATATATTCCCAGGTAAGCTACTATTCAGGTATAGGGGCAGGAGCTACAGGACGTCACAGACGCTGTTCAATACATAGTCCACTGGCGTCTCCCCAATCGTCCGCTCAAAATTATGGAGTCTTCAGTCTTCACGAAGCTCCACTGATAATTGAAAAAAACATTCGGTCCCCAAATAGCCAATCACACGATATCACGTGACTCGGTTCACACGAGGATGTCTTCTTTGGTTTAGTTGAATATGTCTTTTGTTAAAAGAAGCATTTAAGTATATGTATTTCATAAATGCATATCTTCCGACTTTAACAATCCAGTGTCGGATGTGAGAGAGTCGTTGACTTTTAGCCCAGCTGTAGAAATGTCCTGTTTATCCCCATACGCTTACAACTAAGAACATGGTTGTGCTCGCATTTGAGATAAAACGCAAATTTACAGAAAATTTGAGCAAATAAAGATAAAAATACGAGATAGAGATAGCCAAAAGAGCAATGGGTGACGCCTATTTAGTATTTATTTATTGATCTAGATGCCAATCGCTGGCAAAAGTCTCGCTTTGTTGTATTAAGCTGTGCCGGTTAGGTCTGGAATCGTCACACAGCGAGACAAACACATCATTTCTCGTGTTCAATGTAAAAAAAAACGACCGCTACTTTACATGCGAGTTATATTTTTTGAAATTTTCACATGTCTATGTTTTAGATGTTATTTTAAGTTATAAACTTCTTTTATACATGTATAATAATGTAGACTATACACATCACCAAATTAAGCGAGTTATTCGGCGTCACATGAACTCTTTGATTACACGAGATTGCGCCTCTAGATTAAAACATCTATACTTCCACGATTTCACTTATAAATCGTGATTATAGATCCATCTAAATATCACATGACTCTATCATATGTATATATGACGGATAGATATGTCCCATCAGAGGGTGCAAACATTAGGGCCAGATCTTGTCGACGTTTTTGAACCCATATTGTGTACCTCAGGATGGGACATTTCTATCCTAAGCAAATTATTTCTTACATCGCGTACTAAATCATTTGATCGGGATGTGTAACCGCCATCTGATGGCAAAGTATGAGCGTCTTTGATACTGAAGTTGACTTTAAAATCATATATACAGCTAGACTGGGAGTATTACTGCGTACTTCAAATTCTAAATGTAGGCAAAATACAACCTTCAGGATGATGTTTTTGTTGTCTTAACACGAATCTGTGCCGAGGGTTAATAGACAACCAGATACACAGCTTGATGGTTGGAGATTTGTTACACCCTAAGATAACGAATTAGTATTTGCTGTAATACTATGTTGACAGCAGGGATTTCCTGGTATACAAATATTATATCTTCAGTCGAGAGCTGATTGTGACATCGTTTCTCATTGTTTCCGTGTCATTATAACATTGTTTCTTAGTTTCACGTCCTATTTGTCAAACCCTCAGGGTTGACAGAGAAATCATACTTTAAGTAGCATCATACAGGTAAAACGGAACACTATTCTGTGAATGGTGGCAGATAGATTTATCTTGCATGAATTTCCCAATGTGAAAACTCTACCTAACATGGTCGGCTAGGTAAGAAATCGATATCAAACATACACAAAAATAAATAAGTAACAGTATCACACTAACAGGTAAAAATATTGTATAAATAGTTTGATCGGTAATATTGTATAATTAAGGATTAACTTGAATATATTTTTCATGTTATGGAGATATAACACAAAAAACGGAGTGTCCGGTTTTTTGTGTTATAGTTCCATAACATGAAAAATGTATTCAAGTTAATCCTTATAATTAAATTTGTTCCACCTCAAGTGAATTTCTAGCTATTTGATTGGTTGGGAGAAAATTAAACAAAAGTCTCTGTCACCCTCCGAAAATACATTGGTTTTAAGGGGCGGGGGTGAGATTGCCATGAGACTGAAAAATATCACATGCGCGAAAAATGTGCGTTCACCGCCTCCTTTGCCAACCGTGATGGTCACAAGAACGTTTGACGGCAACAGCCAAATTTATGAAGCGCCGGTGCGATAGCGATTGTAAACAGCAGACTATCAACAAACAAGATATCATTATCGAGGTTTGCTGCCGTTTCTGAACTACAAAGACTTTCAGTGTAACAAAATAAATATGACATATTTATAAACTATTATACACAATCTCTGTGGAAATCCACTTTTATTGATGGACTCTTTTCTCTTAGAAATTATTGCGCTGCTGTATCAGCCAATCAAAAGCGACGTTACAAACGCCGACGTCATTTTTTATGTTATGAGCTGATAACAAAAAAATTTAAGCCAATGAAAATGCTTGTTACAAGCAAGATTAAATTATATAGTTTGATCGGTAATCAGAAACCATCTTCGACATATCTATAAATTAAGGAACCCTGCCCCGCTGCAATCTAATTTTCCGTATACAATAACGTCAACCTCCCACTTTTAACTGTGATCCTGTATCTTTACAAAAATACAGATGTTTTGCGTGTCGTTTTGTTGTACACGGATTCGAAATCAGCGAAAATTTATTAAAAAAAAAAACTTTTCTGAAAGGTTTATTTAGCAATTATTTTCATTTCAGCACGTTATGCTGGTTTAATACAAGCGCGCGGTCCGGCTCGTTCCCGGGTACGATATATACACTTGCGGTGGTGGTGTGACTGCAGGTATACATTGAATACTGTTAACACAAGTTTGGTATACCTTGTTTACGCCACATCCGTCGATGGATTAAAATACATGGCAATTGAGACAAGGACTTGGGTTACCAGTACTGATATACAAAACAAGAGGCACAAGGGGCCTTAACGGTCACCTGAGTAAAGATTGCATCGGAATTGGTCTCAAGTTTGTTTCACTGTTAAGGGTTTGAGCAATTGGATATAAAAACGTTCACAAGCCTGAGAAAAATAACAGCATTTTGATTGATATGAACAACTCACAGGAAGAGGTTTTCACTTGTAATGATCGATGCAAACAATAATTATAAAAGGACGTTAAAGTTCAATATTGGAGAGAGAAAACGAAATCATAAATCAAATTTAGGGGAATGCTGAAATTTCCAATTCTAGTAGCATTGTTGTGTGTTGTATTCGTACGATTATGGGATGGATTCTCAACCATTTTACATGTTACGACCCAGGGTCTTAGTCCCCAGGAATGGGGTCAGACCCATGGCCTAAGGCCCGAAATAGTGTCACTGCTGTATAGGTCTTTCCAAGCAAAGGAAGTGTGTACATGGTAACGGTGGGGAATAACAACAATCATAAAATTATGCTTCGGAGAATGAGTCCCAACGGGTGAGTCAGATCCTTGAGTCGATCTCGGTAGTGTGGGTGAACTTGTCACTTTATGCCCAGTGAGTGTATAAATAGTTATGGGATGGGAATCTCAACCATTTACCGGTTATGACAAAGGGATTGAGTACTAAAAGGTGGGGTAGACCCCAGCGAAATCCTGGTAGCATGGTATTTCTCTTCGTGCCATTGTAGGGGGATGTAGCCATTTTTTATATTATGACCCCAGACCACAGCCAATAGGTCCCTGGGGAACAGGGGCACACTGAAATAAGCTTCTCTACATGTGTATGACATTTGGTATAAAATTAATTAAATTCATAATTAACACCTTGAATTTTCTGAAATGATCGATGCTAATTATCAGTATTATATCTTTACATATGGAACCTATAAAGGTTATCTCCCTTTCACAACAGCATACGTTGATCTTTGACCTCTGTGCGTGGCCCCAGTTATGGCCCCGGGGCGGCTTACTAGTTGAGGCTTTGTTTTATAAAATGTGAAATCAGGTGAATGTGTGGCACTGCTATTATAGTGTCATATGGAAGGTCAGTATCACCCCACCCCGGTACCTGTATGTAAAATTTGTAAAACATATATACTATATACATGGAAGTAAACTTTGTATAGATGTATATACCGTATACCTGTATGTAGAATTTGTAAACCATACATACTGTATACAGGTAAGTAAACTTTGTATAGATGTATATACGGTATACCTGTATGTAGAATTTGTAAAACATACATACCATATACATGTAAGTAAACCTTGTATAGATGTATATACAGTATACCTGTATGTAGAATATGTAAATCATACATACTACATACATGTAAGTAAACTTTGTACAGATGTATATACGGTATACCTGTATGTAGAATTTGTAAAACATACATACTATATACATGGAAGTAAACTTTGTACAGATGTATATACGGTATCCCTGTGTGTAGAATATGTAAAACATACATACCATATACATGTAAGTAAACCTTGTATAGATGTATATACTGTATACCTGTATGTAGAATATGTAAAACATACGTACTATATACATGTAAGTAAACTTTGTATAGATGTATATACGTTATACCTGTATGTAGAATTTGTAAAACATACATACTATATACATGTAAGTAAACTTTGTACAGATGTATATACGGTATACCTGAATGTAGAATTTGTAAAACATACATATTATATACATGTAAGTAAACTTTGTAAAGATGTATATACGGTATACCTGAATGTAGAATTTGTAAAACATACATACCATATACATGTAAGTAAACTTTATATAGATGTATATACCGTATACCTGTATGTAGAATATGTAAAACATATATACTATATACATGTAAATAAACTTTGTACAGATGTATATACGGTATACCTGAATGTAGAATTTGTAAAACATACATATTATATACATGTAAGTAAACTTTGTACAGTTGTATATACGGTATACCTGAATGTAGAATTTGTAAACATACATACTATATACATGTAAGTAAACTTTGGATAGATGTATATACGGTATACCTGTATGTAGCATATGTAAAACATACGTACTATATACATGTAAGTAAACTTTGTAC